GATTTTTTCATTTCTAATTTTTTTTTAATGGCTTTATTATCATTAGATGAACAATGTTAAAAAATAAAAAAAAAGATTGAGTCTATAAAGGCTAAGATCTTGAAATTCACAAAATGAATGGTCTATATTGGTTTTTGGAGAGAACTCATTTTGACCATATCTAGGGTTCAAATTAAACTTTTCTTTTTAGGGGGGATTGATTATTGAAATGAAGAGAGTGTGTAAAATTTTAGAGTCATATAAATACTATAAACATGGTTTTCTTAAAGTGTCTTTGTATTATACTATGATACAACCATTGCATTAGATATATATATATATATATATATCTGTGTGTGTGTAATGCATTACACAAATCTGGAAATAGCTGATCCCACACAAGGTACATATTTTTATTTGGTAGGCGACGCATGATAAAATTATGATGATTGATAATCTGATTAAAAGGGGAAAAATTCTTCCAAATGTATGTCTTTTTTGCAAGGAGGATGGTGAGACTATAGCACATCTTTTTATTCATTGCTCTTTTATTGTGAGGTTGTGGTATTGGTTTTTTGGGATGGTTGGCATCCTAATGCCACTTCCACAAATTGTCGGGGAGATTGTGTCTTCACTAAAAGTCCATTTTGTACGAAGACATGACGAATTGTTTGAAAAATTACAATAGGAGCTATTCTTTGGGAAGTTTGAAAATAAAGAAATCGAAGGACTTTTTATGGAGTAGCTTGCCCTTATGAAAGGCTTATCCATATTTGTAAATCCATAATCTGGTCATGGTTGTCTGTGAATAAAGAAGGTTGGGGTATTTGTAAGGTGGATGTGATGGCCAATTTGCATAATTTGTTCTTACTTGGCTTTAGTAAATCGAGACTAAGTAGTGTTTGGATGGCTCCATGTCCAGGTAGCTTTAAGCTCAATTGTGATGGAAGCTCATTGGGTAACCTGGGGCAAGCTGGTATTGGTGGAATTTTACGAGATTGGTATGGTAATGGTAATATACTTTTCTCTTTTGTTGGACCAATTGGAAATGCTACGGCTAATTTTACAGAATTAAGTACTTTATTGTGTGGCCTGAAGATATTCATTGAGAAAAATTTGGGAGCTAGCTGAACAATAGAGGGGGACTCTTTAAATGTGATTAGATGGTGTAGAATAGAGCAGAAAATCCCTTCGAAACTTTGATCTTTGTGGCTGCAAGTGATGGATTTGACGGCAAATGGTGTGACGTCTTTTACGTACATGTTTATAGGGAGACCAATGGTACAGCCAACTATCTTGCTAAAGGGTGTATTTCTTTTTTCTATACTTCGCGTTTTTGGCAATATAATTTCTTTTGAATAACTTTTAGTAATATCAATGAACTTGGTAAAAGGCCATATATATATATATATATATATATGGAAATTATGGGATGGGCGAATTCGTGCGTTTGGCTGTGTTGCGCCAACGGGTGGGATTAACTGTTTTAAAAACTGCCCTCATTCAAAAGGGCAAACGTAGGCTTTGGAGAAGGGAAACGCAGACAGAGTAGGCCTGCGAACTCCCGCCTACACTCCCACCCACTGTGTAGAGATGGCAGGCCTACCGGCCTCAAGCCCTTCTCCTACTCCATCTCTCTCACTCTACCGATGCATCCAATCCCTCTCTCTCTAAACAACACGATTTCAAAAAACCATTTCCTTTCTCTCTCCAAAACCAGAGGACCCCTATCTCTCACTCGCGCCCAGTTTCTACCTGCCTCAAGCCCATCTCCAACTCCATCTCTCTCCCTCTACCGATGCATCCACTCCTCTCTCTCTAAACCACACACAAACAAAACCCATTCCCTTTCTCTCTCTAAAACCAGAGGACCACACGAAAACAAAAACCTATTTCCTCTCTATCTTTCACAAACTACAGGAGCCCTAATGCACCTTCTGCGCCTCTCATTGTTCTTTTTTTTATTTGAAAACCCTTTGATGGGTTTATAGACATGGGTTATTGGTTTGAAAACCAATGAGATGGGTTTGCATTTGGGGTATTCATGACTAATATGCGTTTTTTGCTATGAAAAATAGGATGTTCGTTCTAATGCTGTAAATTTGGTTTTTTTTGCTTTGAAAAATTGTAGTTCTAATGCTGTAAATCTGGTTTTTTTTTCTATGATGCATTTGGGGTATTCATTACTTATCTACGTTTTTTGCTATGGAAAATAGGATGTTCGATCTAATGCTGTAAATCTGGTTTTTTTGCTTTGAAAAATTGGAGTTCTAATGTTGTAAATCTGGTTTTTTTTCTATGATGCATTTGAGGTATTCATTACTGATCTGCGTTTTTGCTATGAAAAATAGGATGTTTGTTCTAATACTGTAAATCTCGTTTTTTTGCTTTGAAAATTTGGAGTTCTAATGCTGTAAATCTGCGATATTGGATGCAATATGATGCATTTGAGGTATACATTTGCAATAACTAACACAAAATGCCCTCTCAAATTACATTACCTCCACATTGGACAAGCCCTTTAGACCATCCCATGTATCAAACAAGTTGCAAAGAAATAAATGATCAAATACGAAATCACGATTGAATAAAATATCTCACAATCAAATAAAGCACGACTCATTATTGATAGAAAATTTTAGAAGGATTATATTAAGGAAATTTTCTGCAGATATCTCCATCACAATTCCAAATCCAATAACCAGAAATTTCACTTAAATGTCTGACTATCCCAAACTAAGCCTTTTTACTTTCTGATTTTTCGCATATGAAACTCAAAAGAAGACTAGACATAAGGGACCAACATATGGCCACAAACCAACCTTAGCACAATACTATTAACATAAAATCAAAAGTATGCACCAATGCACAGTCCAAATTTCCCTAATAATTCATAAATAAAAAATTTCTCAGGAAACAAGCCCAAGATTTCCACCGAATGTCACAGAAGTTGAATCTCTTTTTCAAACTACTAATTTTGGATGCCACCAATCAATTTGTAAATTGCAAGAACAATGATGCAATTTCCAACATAGCAGCGTAAAATTTCCGCAAGTTGCATTCTGCAAATCACTCTAGAACATTAAGCTGAGAAGAAAGCTTGATATAAATTATATTCGTTCGATAAAGAAAATAAATTGAAAATAAAATATCAAAAAGAGTCAAAGTATTCTTTGAACGTTGTATATATTTGATGCAATTTGATGCGTGTATTCTTTCTAGTTGTCAATGAATGCTATGTATTAAAGAGGAAAATATGTTAGGAATTGCATATCATGCCGTACCATGTAATTTATGTTTCACCAGGTGTTGATGTCTTCACCAATTCCCTCCATAGATCGTTCATTGGCATTGTCTTTGCTCTAGTTGCTCATCTGCTTGAATGTATATATTAGTGATTGAAATCTCTTTATTTTATTCGTTGTCTTATGTATGTTATATACAAGGAGAGTATACCTTATTTTTGAAGGTATATATCTATATTAATTGAATGTATAGCATCATTGGTTTCTTTCCAAAACCTTGAGCTATTGACGTGCTGGTCGTTTGTATTATCTGCTAGCCTTTCTGTTGGATCGCCAAACCATACCACATGATTCCATTGTTTCTTCTGTACCTACTCATTCCTACTATACGCATCATGTATAAATTGTTATTGTTTACTTGCAAGCATATTTTATTTGAATATGCTTATTTCTTTAATCTGCAAATTGTAATTGTTTGACTTGAAAGAAAAGCACTCAGTGTAAGAATTTTTTTCCATTGTTTCATGCTATCTGGGGTAAATAATTAATTTCCTTTGTTTACTTCTTATGAAATTGGGATTCAGGTCTACACCTTTGAAGTACATAGCATGTCATCAATTTCCACTAGTGCTGGAGGATATCAACGGCGAACCTGTCCACGGTGCAACTTACAATGCAACTTAAGTATATCAAGCTCCCGATCTAACCTAAGAATAATGTACTACCGATGTCCAAATTGTACATTTTTTCAATGGTATGGTGATTATTTGGAAGGGATGAATTATAATGTAAAGCTGTCAATGGTATGGTGATTATTTGGAAGGGATGAATTATAATGTAAAGCTGAGGCACCGTGATATACATCAAAACAATCAGATATAAGAATCGGAAGAGCATATTATGGTCAAGCCTGAACTGATGGTCATTCAACAATAAATTGTTGATACTTTAGGGCGGATGCAACAGTATATTTTTCTTGTGTGTAATGAATGCGATTATGTTTGTATTACTTTTGTTTAAAAGTATGTGATATCGCTAGATAGTTGGTCTCACAACCCATGAAACAGTTATTGGTGTCGATATTGGATTTACATTAGAGTAAATTTCAGTCGATATGAATTGCGTGCTTGTAGAAGACTACCTTGAAATGTGTTTGAATTCTCCCTCTACAGATTGTTACTGCAGAGTAAATCTCTTTGCACTTTCTCCCTGTATGCAGTCACATTCTTATTCTCTCTCTACACTTTCTGTGTCTAAACTCTCACTTTGTTTTCCTCTCTCTGCACTGTCACATTGTTGGCTTCCATTTGTGGCCATTTGTTTGAGATGCACATTGATCCATGTTTATCAGGACCTATCCATGAAAAGACATTCTTATTAAATGTATTTTCAGTTTGCATCCAAAAGAGGAAGTAGAAAGTTATAAACTTGTGCATAGAAAGTATGCAGTAGAATGAAAGAATTCATTGCATACGTTACAAACATGAACTATTACAAACATTATTGCAAGAATTTATGTTTCGAGTATGATTTTAAAAACATTATACAATACCCATTTTTTGTACTCAACAAATGCATACTCATTTCAGTAATTTTGGGTTTTTGCTGCCACGACACAAACCGACACCCATGTTTCTTCACCATACGACACAAAGACAGTGATACAGTGCATAAGTGCTCTCCCACATATAATTCATGTATCAACAAAACTATCGTTCCATAGGCTCCCACGTTCATTAGCAAGAAAATGCAAGGATATGGCCGGATAAATTCGATATAGACTAACTAGCATATTGACTTCTCAGGTTCCAGATTGATGTCATGAGACATACTTCACCATACATACGTCCATTACAATATTGGATTTTACCAAAAACATGATTCTTTGCTGCCGCCTTTTCTATACAACACAATCACCATATTCACTACACATAGCTAATACAGAATTTAATTTTACCAAAAAAATGGCTCTTTACTGCCCCATTTCCATACAACACAATCACCACATTCACCACACATATGTCCATTACAATACTAGATTTTACCACAAAAAATTGCTCTTGAATCTTTGGCAAAAATTATCCGCATCTTCTGTGGAGCATCTTTTCGACCTACAATAAGAAGAATAGTATTGATCTTTTACCAAAATGCACAATGATAATAGCATTGAATACATGGAGAGAGAATGAGGACCTGTTGGAATTTAGAGAGAGAGAAACCTTTAGAGAGAGGTTACAATGATTAAATTCTTAAGAAAGAGAGAGAGGTCAAACAAAGATTAAAATTCATAAGAATGATAGACATAAAAAATTTAGTTTATACCTGATATTCTAATATTGTATTTAAGCTGATGTTCCAACCAATGACATCCTGAAAGAGCAATCCATATCTGGTCACAAGCATAATATATAATGTTGCTTACCATAATGTTGATTACCCTGAGTAAATAAAATATTTGAAATAATTCATAAATACATGCATAATATATAATGCTGCTTACCATAATGTTGCTTACCCTGAGTAAATAAAATATTTGAAATAATTCATACATACATGCATAATACATAATGTTGCTTACCATAATGTTGCTTACCCTGAGTAAATAAAATATTGGAAATAATTCATACATACATGCATAATACATAATGCCGCTTACCGTCAATGCTCATGTCCCACGTTCTTATGAGACAGAATCTTATGGTGGACTTTGGAAATAACCCTGTAGATTGAAAAAGCTTATACAATTAAAATGGTAATACATCTAGATTGAAAATGCTTATACAATTAAAAATCAAAAAAATATAAAGGTATGTGTTACTACTTTTCACGAACGTATGATGGACAATTTCTTCTATCATGCTCACTGCCCTGGCAAACTGCGCATTTCCTAGACTTCTCCGTTGGCTTCCATCCCTCTGATCGAGCTTTTTTTCTTGCATTTGTTGGCCGTCCCTTTCCCCGTGCTTGTGGAGGATTAAGAACATTCTTGCAGTTGTAATTTCCATTTGGTGTGTCACTACAACTAGTAGCACTCTTCTCATCATTTACATGGCTCATAGTGTCAACCTATGGGCGTCGCTTAAAACCGAATTTATTGTTTGACCTCAATGATATCATCATGTATTAAAGACATTACAAATTCATGAACCTCCACACTTTCTGACGCACACTCAGCAAGGTATCAAACAGCCTACATGACATCGTTATATCGAATGGAAAGTGGTAGTGTAGATGCATCATGAAGTTCTTTGCCTCGTTCATCAACAAAAACCCCACTCTTTGCGTTCTTTGACCAACACCTCATTGTGTATTTTGGCGGGATTTCAAAAATATTTTTCATCATAAAAATCTGCAACACATGCCTGCAGAGAAGCCCATCCTCTCATATAAGTGACAACTGCAAGTAGCTCTCTTCTCGTGGGGATTGAATTCCACTAAGTATGATCTAGATCTGTTCCCATATCTGCCACCATAAAAGTGGCAAGCTGTCCATTTTCATCAACTAACTCACTCATCAAATTCATACAATTGGCAACCTTTCCCACAAATATCTTCAAAAAAAATTTAGTATAAATTTTTTATGCCTGTGACTCAAATAAAAAAGTTGTTCTTAAGATTGGAGTAGTTGTAATGTCATTTAAGTCGTTTTCCTTTTCTTGTCGTACCTTCTTATCTTGCACCGTGGCACACATTTTCAATAATGTACATGGGCTTGTTTTGGAGGTCAAGTACATATTGAAAAGCTTATTCATCCCTTCACACTTTTGGGTAGAAGTCATACCCGCTGTGAACCTGCCAATCATGTATGCATCCACCCATTGCATGCGACAACCATATAACCTATTTAGCCATTCATTGCTTTCCAACTCATATTTCTCAATCATCAATTTCCATCCATTTTCAAATTCTTCTACTATTGGGCTAGCATGTATGCATCCACCCATTGCATGCGACAACCATATAACCTATTTAGCCATTCATTGCTTTCCAACTCATATTTCTCAATCATCAATTTCCATCCATTTTCAAATTCTTCTACTGTTGGGCTAGCTATACAACTCCTAAAAGTATCTGAAAAAGAAGGATGCATGCGCAAGACATGACATAGTTTTTCTTTAACTTTCAATAGTATATGCCACTTACAGTAATGATGCTCACTACGGTAAAAAAACTTGTCTCACTGCGGCTGAAATTGCATGGTCTTGATCATTGATAATAACACCCAATTGTTCTCCATCCATTGCTTCCAACCAATTTTCAAATACCCAAATAAATGATTCTATCTTCTCATCAAATATGAGTGCAAATCCAAATAAAGTTGTATTGAAATGGTAATTTACACTAAGTATTGGAGCAAAGGACATACTAAAAGTATTTGTTTTATATGTAGTATCAAATGTAACCACATCAGATAAACATCGATAAAAAACTTTACATGTGGCATCTACCCTTAAGATGCTAAGAATGTGACCATCTTTATCTAATTTCAATCTATAGAAAAAAAATGGGTTTGATTCTTTCATTTAATAGAGCCATTGTATAACTAGACTACCATCTTCTCCTCTTAGTTTTCTTCTGGCACTAGCAATTTCATTTTCGATGTCTTTTTGCGTACATGTAACATTCTCGATCCCTCCAGCTTGCTCTATAAATATGTCATGAATATGTCTTGGCCTAACCATTGCCGAACTCATTGAATTTATCATCAACTTTGTGGCACTAGACAACGTTCGGTGGCTGTGAATTAGACAAGCTTTTCTTGAACTAACTAGATCGTGATTGTGATCATCAATAAACCTAATCACAACCCACTCATTGTCAGCTTTTCTACTGAGTCCTAGCTTAGCCTTACACCCACACCTTAATTCAGGGAGTACATTTCCACTGACTTGCTCTTTCACTTTGTGAAATCCTTCCTTAGAGCAATTAATTTCTCTACTAAGCCTCTCACATTTTATTATTATGGGAAGTGCCCAATTGGAAACCAAAGCCTTTGGCCAATGCATAAGCCTTATAATAGTCAATTGCATCTTCCTCTGAAGAGAACTTCATTCCTATACAGGGTACATTTGTTTCTAAGCCTTTGGTTGAGGCGTTAGGTTCTCCATCTTGTATTTCTGTAAATTTTCTAAGAGGGGTTGCAAGATAAGGAACCTGCCATGGGCTCATTTGTGTCACCCATGTTGTCTCCAATTGCACAAGTGGGAGATGACACACAATCTGAAACGGTGCGATCCATCTAAGTCTTTCAACTAACCCTACGTAGAAAAACAAACTACATAAATATATGTATTCAAACCTTTATATAAACATAACAACACTCCTAGTTAACTATTCAAGTAATCTTGCTTCCATTATAGGATCAACCATATTCAAAGCGATTGTAGACAACAGGGGTGCACTCCATTAATTTGAACTTAACTCTTAAAGTAATGTGTATAAGCATTAAACATTAGATTAGACATCATAGCTTATTAAGTGCACCTACACATTACGGCATATATAATCACTTTTAGGAACCACAACCCATAGTCCGCAAACCATGCATTAAGATAACCCAAAATTGACAAGTTCATCAGCCCATCACATCACACATTGTGCATAAAGTACACAACATACTCAAAATTCTTCAAGCCCATCAGTAGAATTTTCCATTGAAATATCAAGGATAATAGGAACTTCATCAGTAGCATTTTCGATTGAAATAACAATAATGATGGGACAACTAATGAATTAAGAATAAATGTCGCTGAACAAGAAATAGCCCTAATAAATGGTTATGAAAGTTAAATAGGATGAGCACATGTGAATCAAATTCAGTCCCATCATTATACTTTTCCATTGAAATGTCAAGGATGATGTGAACTTCAACAATAACAATTTCCATTAAAATAACAATGATAATGCGACAGCTAATGTATTAAATTAAAAATTGCCATTGAAAAAGAAGTAGCTCTTCAAAATGGTGATGAAAGACAAATAGGATAAGAACATATGAATCAAATTCAAGCCCATCGGTAGACTTACACCAATGTATTAAAAAAAATTGCCATTAAAAAAGAAATAGCTCACCAATTGAATCTGAAACATGTATCACAGGGTATTCAAAACAAAAAAAATGAACAATCCGTTCTATTCGTACCTGTGTGACTACGATTAAGATAAGGGTTTCACTTCTATTCACCAATGAGAGGCGCAGAGGGTGTATTAGGGCTCCTGTAGTTTGTAAAAGATAGAAAGGAAACTGGTTTTTGTTTTCATGTGGTCCTCTGGTTTTAGATAGAGAAAAGGAATGGGCTTTGTTTTGTGCGGTTTAGAGAGAGAGGGAGTGGATGCATCGGTAGAGGGAGAGAGATGGAGTAGGAGATGGGCTTGAGGCAGGTAGAAACTGGGCGCGAGTGAGAGATAGGGGTCCTCTGGTTTTAGAGAGAGAAAGGGAATGGTTTTTGAAATCATGTGGTTTAAAGAGAGAGAGAGAGACGGATTGGATGCATCAGTAGAGAGAGAGAGATGGAGTAGGAGAAGGGCTCGAGGCTGGTAGGCCTGCCATCTCTGCACAGTAGGTGGGAGTGTTGGCGGGAGTTCGCAGGCCGACCCTGCCCGTGTTTCTCTTCTCCAAAGCGCGTTTCCCTTCTCCAAAGCCTGCATTTTCCCTTTTGAATGAGCGCCGCTGATTTCTCACCCTTTTGAATGAGCGCCGCTGATTTCTCATATATATATATATATATATATCGAGGTTTTTCAAGAATTAACAATTCCTCAAAATCCAAAATTTATAAGTGAGTAAGGGGTTGTGATGGGTGTATTTATCAAAATAATTATTATTTTTTATTAAAAAGTTATTTAAATAGATAACTTTATCGTTAAGTAAAATTTTTTTAAAAAAAATATTATTTAAATAGGTAATTTTACCATTAAATAATAACAAATTTGAAATTTTCACAAAAATACAATGGCATTTTGGAAGTTAGTGTCCTAAAACTTTATTTGTAGCGTACCGTTGTCCTTTAGTTAAAATTTCAATTTTACCTTTTATAAAAATGACAAAAATACCTTTTATCTTGTAGTAATATTTGTAAAATTGACTCATAAAAGTAAATTTTTTAAAAAAATATAAAACAAAATTAATAAATCTACCCTTCACAACTCTATCTACCTTAAACTTTTATAATTTGAAGGGTTGTGAAGTTTAGAATATTCCTATATATATATAGGGAAAGGTTTCTATGCTTCTCCTACAACATAGAAGTTTTATCCTCCTCCTACTATCCAGCCATCCAATTTTGATTAAGAGATCCACTTACCATTTGATCTTAGATTTGACGTCTCAAAGTATTTCATTTGTATTCTTTTATACAAATTGTATGAATATGAAATTCGGTATGTGCCATCTTTTCATTGGGGCACACCTATAAAAAATATTAAAAAAAAATTTTCGATAAAATATAATGACCAAGATACACCTTGAAACTTTTAGGGGTATTTTGGCCATTTTATTTTATTGAAAATATATTTTTATATATTATTTGCTAGTGCGAATTTAATAGAGGAATAAATGTCCAAATTTTGGTGTCAAAATAGTTTATAGAAAAAAATTAAAAATAAATTAGTGAAGAAACGTGACATCATGATTGGGGCAATCTTAGCCCTCCATTCAGAATGGATAGTTGGATATATGTGTTTATATATATATATATATATATATATATATATATATATATATA